GTCACGGCGGTCAGTCTCGGCTCCTGGAGGTGTTGGTCCGAGAATCTCTCTCCAGCTGCAATGATGGAGTCTTCTCTAGGGTAGGTTAGCAGCAGTGACTATCCCAGCGTGTATCGGTCACATGTCCATTGCTGTGACAAACACCTGAGATATGTCACCTTGAAAGGGACAAAGGTTCATTTGGCTAGTCCAATGGTGTCAGCCTCTGGTTCCTGGCCTGGTCTTTGGAGCCTGTGGGGATGCAGAGCATCACGGCGGACAGCAGGTGGTAGAGCAAAGACACTCAGGGCGGCCAAGAAGAAGGAGCCAGGGTCCCCAATCCCCTTCAAGGGCCTGCCCCCAGGGCCTGACTTCCTTTCACTAGGTCCCACCTCCTCAAGTGTCCACTCCCTCCCAAGAGCACCACAGGCTGGTGACCAAGACTTTGGCATATGGGCCTTTGGGGGACATTTGAGATGAAATAATAATGTAGCATCTTTGCCGTTTAGTGTCAACTAATCAAGGGAGCTGCCGTCCCATCGTATTCACAGATCCCACACTCTGTCGAGGGAGAGGCGACACAGAGTGTGCACACCAGGGAATGAGAATCTTGGGGGCTGTTACAGTTTGGATGTGAGGTGTCCCCCGAAGCTCACGTGTGAGACAGTGCAAGGTTCAGAGGGGAAATGACTGGGCTGTCAGAGCCTTGACCCAGTCAGTGAATGGATCCCCTGGTGGGGTTAACTGAGAGGCACTGAAGCGGTGGGGTGTGGCTGGAGGACGGGGGAATGGGGGCCTGGCTCTGGGTATGTATTTGTATCTGGTGAGTGGAGCCTCTCTCTTCCTCCTGATCACCATGTGGCTGCTTCCCTCCGCCACACTCTTCTGCCATGTTGTTCTGCCTCACCTTGAGCCCCGAGGAGTGGAGCCTGTTGTCTACGGATGGGGACCTCTGAAACCCTGAGTTCCTAAGTAAACTTTTCCTCCTCTGCAGTTGTTCTCGTCAGATCTTTCCAGTCGCAGCACCCAAAACTCTGACGAACACAGGGGCTATCTCAGAATTCTCCCCTCCACGAGTAGCAAGCTGTAGGGATCAGAACCCAGACCCAGGTGATCCAACAGGTCTCCGGGTGAGCCTGAGAGCTAGGTCCGCAGAGGCCCTGAGTCCCACACACTGGTCCTGTGGTGCCCATTTCCCACAGAGCTCCCTCAACATCAGCGCATCCTCTCTGTCCCCACAGAGGACAGAGCTGAGGCATGTTCAGGTTGACCACTGGACGGCGGCTGGGCCAGTCTGAGAAAACAGCCCCACAGTGCCTTTCACCTTTCTTTTCCCATGTCCAGAACCTCTTGGTCATCTCGTGGCATGATCCCGTCACTTGGGATTGTCTCATGGAGATCACCACTCACTGTCCATCATTGGGTTCAGTCCCTCCTCGGGCACAAAGCTAAGCCATGTCTCCCAGGCTCTCTCGCAGTGTGGTTGGGTTGGCCATGCAGCTTGGTTCTCTCCAGAGCGGATGCAGAGGTGTGAGCCGCTCCCTGTCTCAGTACTTGCTCCTCTGCCCTCTATCCTGGTTGGCCAGCTGCAGAGGACCAAGAAGTCACAGATGGAGGGAACTGGGAGGAGAACTGCTCCCCCACCCGGTCCCCCTCTCAGAACAGTTCCAGGAGAAGGGTGCAGGGGTCTCACCATGCAGGGCCAGGCATTGCCCATTCTGACCCCTTGGTTAAGGTGACTACACTTCCACCATCACTCGGCTCCCAGCCCCCAGCCCACTTCTGGCCACAGAGGAAAAAACTGCAAAAAGAGTGAGTGTTTGTCTCCGGGCGTCCCAGCGTCTTCCAGAAGCACAGCAGAATTTCATCATAGCAAGCCATGAGCACCCTCAAGCCTTTCGGTCGGCATCGAAGGGTCTGGTATTGATCATAGATAACCTTGATGGTCCATTGAATTTCTTGACCGATTTCATCACTTGGCGGCGTTGTCCTGATTGGGAGGAGCACGGGCAGAACTGCGGGGCCTGTTGCCAAGAACCCTGGTTTAACTCAATAGACTCCTGTGCTTTCTAACAGTACTATGACAGCATAATCTCTCAAGTGGCTCAGGTAGACCAGGCTGCACGTGTGCACACACACGCACGCACTACACGTTCTTCACCTGAACAACACACTGGTAGCACTGCTTCTACCATCATTATTCCCATGGCATAGATAGGAAGTGAGACACAGAGGCTAAGGGACATGCCCAGGGCTGACCATGGTGAGTGGCTCACCGAGCTCCATACCCAGGGGCTCTTTCCCCTCTCCATATAGTCACACTGGCTACTGCTGTCCCCACGTCAGGGTTTTCCTGCCACTGAGCCCTCTGCCTTCTTCGCCAGGAGTATAGTCCCTCTAGCCCAAATGGCCCTGTTCTACAGGTTAGAAGGAGGCGCTCCTTCATCAAGACCCTCTGATTCTATCTGCCAGAAATTTACTCTATAAATGCACACATCTTCAGTGTTCTTGGTGGTGCTCCTTAGGTTGTTCAGCGTTCAACCTGCACAACTGTGTGGTGCCATCCTCCAGAAGAATAGCAACTTGTCTTGTAGGGTCTGATCCAAATGTTAATGTGATTGGTCAATACTTTTGGGACCTGGGAGCTAGAAAGCTGACTTTTGTTCTTCCCAGTCTCCATTCCTTTGAGATCTCTGAGCTCCAAGACCATGTAGCCCATTTGACTTCTTCCCCAAATGGGGTGGCTCTCCCTCGTGCCAGACCTGGGAGCAGCAGCCCTGCGGATGAGGCCACAGAACCATCCTGCTGATCTCTCGTGATCTGGAGATCGCATTGTTCTTCCTCTGCCCCATCCACTGGGAAGAGAAATGGAGGGGAAACGGGTTTCCTGGAGGCCCTAGAAACGACTCGGCTATTTATTCTCCAAGGCAGTGTATCAGGCAGAGCGCGAGAACAGAGAGAAAGGTCTTATGAAAAACTCACAGAGTAACCGAGAGCTCGAGAGGTCTGGAGCTGTCGTTCCCAGCAGCTGCTGCCTACATCAGCAATTAACAGGGTTTCTTGGCTTTTATTTGGTTGTATGTGATTTTCTTTTTTTTTTTTTTTTTTTTTTTTTTTTGCTTTTGCATTTGGAAAGGAATTGCTTCTGAGAGGAATGAATCATTGAAGTTAGCATGAAGTCACTTGGAAGAAGCTTTTGGGGTCTGGCATCTGGATGCCCACCAGCCACCAGGAATCCTTGTACCTCTGTGAACCTCGGTTTTCTCATCTGTGTTGTGGGGAAAGTAATCGTCCCTATTCCACAGGATTGTTGACAGAACTGAGTGAAAAAAAATAATGCAGTGAGTGGCATCGAGCAAGCGCTTGGTCAATAGTAGTTATTATCATCCACGTGATAATAACAACATCAAACCAATACCATACCTCCCTGTCCCCAGGGGGACAGAACCATTAGCAAAGTTCCTCCCAAAGCCCAGACCTTGAATTTCTGCTGGAATGCACAACTGTAGTGAAGAATTAATTCTGGACGTGACAAATTTGTGTGCGAAGTCACTCTGCTCGCTACATCTGTGCCCTCCAACCCTGATGGCGTGGCTCATGGCAGCAATTTGAACAGAGCCCGACCTTCTGAGCCTAAGAGATAAAGGAGACATAACTAGTCCCGGGAGACCCCCTGGGAAGGAGGAAGGTACACAGAGACGCTTATTAAATTGTGCGGGTCTCTTTGGCTTCTCCCACTTGTCGGCTCCTAACTTCTGCCGTCAGATCTAGATGTAGACACAGGACGGTGCGGTGCACCCCTGGGAGGAGAACGAGGGGGTCTGTCTCCAGCTGGGGAAGGGGGCGCTGGGCTTGGATCTGATGGCACCCCTGCTTCTGTCTGCGTTTTGCATCTCATTTGCTGGAAAACCTCAGTTAAAAAAAATAGAATGGACTAGAACATTTTAAAATTTACTTTAAATTCCAATATGATGCAAATGGTTACATGTTGTTATACAAATGGCTGTTTGTTCAGACAGAACAGATTTTTTTTTTTTTCAGTACTGGAGATTGAACCCAGGACCTCACATGCAAAGCTCATGATCTGAGCTACATCCTCAGCCCATCGAACAGATTTCAAGGACAGAAAAACAATACGGTGAAGTGGAGGCATAAAAGACGCTCCCTCCAACTGAATAGCAGAGGTTTAAAAGGTCCAGGAGACCGCGTGATGTGCAACCTAAACAACAGTACATAACTCTTCTGAAAGGGTTCAAAATTCCCAAGGTACACCAGGCTGTGCTGTCCTAGAAGTTCCCTGTGCCTCTCTCTGCTCTGATCAGATGTCAAGGTCCAGCCTAAGGACATCGAGGGCTGGAGAGCTCTGGGGCTCCCGAATTTGAAGATCCCTGTAAATACCAGGCATCACTGAGGAAGACCCCAGTGTTTTCGTTCAACTCCCCACTTCAGGGCTGGGAGGGATGTGCATGATGTGCTGCAGAAGGCAGAGGGTCAGGCTGTGTCCCTGGTGAATTAAAGCCCCAGGTCCACCCCCAAGCTCCTCTTCTGCAGGCCTCCTCCTCCTGACAACTGGGCATGGTGATACCCCGAATTTTTCTCTGTCTGGCGGTTGATGTACAATCTCAAGTCAGAGCCAAGAGATCTACATTTGCTGGTGAAAACTCAAGACTGGGGCCAAGGAGATGTCTTAGTCCAGGACTGAGAAAGGGGACTCTCCCTCTATTTCCCAGAGAACCGGCCTCTGTCTGTGGAGCAGGTGGGGTTGGCCACGTATGGCCTGCTGTCCTTGAGCCAAGTCAGCGGCAAACATTCCCACCAGCCCCACTTGCTGGACAGCCTTTGAGACCCAGACAGAGCTCTGCTTTCTTCCAGGCTCTGAAGCAGGCAACAGAACAAGTAACAACGTCGCTTTCCTATCTTACATTACACACTGGTACCATCTTATCCCACCTCATCGTACATGTGATAGTATAGACCGATGCCGCTTTTTAAGGAGAGGGGAAAAATGTTATTCAAAGCTTGGAAAAATACCTTATGAAAATTCAGTCATTTGCTTTTTTTGGAATTTGTTTCTGTTTGGTTTTATTTTTGGCTTTGCCTCCTCCTTGGGGAGTTCAGTTTCGAGGCTGACATTAAAAGGATGGTATGAAGGATCCCACCAAACTGTCAGAGGCAAGGAAGTGAGGGGCTGCTTCTGGGTCAGGCGAAGCTGCTGTGCAGTGGGAGTTTGAGTGGCCTGACGGGGCGGGGAGAAGCAGGGGTTGATGGCACGGAGGAGAGGGGAGGGGGAGGGGTGCACATGAACCAGGGCAGAGGGAAGAGGAGGGTTGCTAGGCAACGTCCGGGGGCAGAGGAGAGCAGTCTAGGGGAGGAGGTGCTTTCCAGAGAGCCACTTTTTGCCGTGGGTGGCTCCGTGTGGCCAGAACAGCCCAGAGGTGGGTCACACCGAGCTGACAGCCTGTTCCCCCGAGCTGCTTCCTGCCACAATCAGCAGCCGGGAGGGGCCAGGGTACCAGCCCCAGGAGTGTGGCCAGCAGTCTGGGCAGCAGCTGGGATGCAAAATGAAGACGAGAGCTGTTTACTCTACAATTCGTGCCACGGAGGAGGTAAAGCCTGGCTGGTGGGGCCAGGAGTTGTGGCTGCAAAATGCATCCACGGAGAAGGCAGCGGGCACAGGCACGGAGTGGCTTGCTGGGAGGGGCAAAGGTCATTCCAGCCTGATCCTTGGCCCTTCCCCCTGTGGTGGGAGAAGGACCTAGACCTGGGCGTTGCTGACCACCTACAGCAACAGGGTGGGGAACAAAGCCTCCTCGGTGACAGCACAGCGGCAGAGCCTGGTTCAGAGCTGTGAGACCTGCCATGACGTGACCTTGGGGAAGTCCCTGAACCTCACGCTGTACAACACGGATGATGGTGGCTCCTCCGTCACCCGGTTGCCATGAGAACTGAACCCGCGGACGTGGGGAGGGCTGAGAGTTCGCCTAATAAAGGTCTGTGAGCAAGTTCTAAAGAGACAAGGCCCGGGCCAGTGTCCAACGTGGCCCGAGTGCCTTCCATACCCTCGTGTCAACAGGACCTCTGCCAGAAGATGCCCGTGGTGCTAGGAACCACTTACTTCCCAGGTTTTCTGTCACTGTTCTTTGATTGTCCCAACAAACAGGGCCACCATTGAAAGACACATCCTCGGGTGGGAAGAAGTCACACCTTGCACACTCGGGCACAGTGCCCAAGGTTGAACGAGTCTGAGACGCTTAGCTACTAGTTCACTCTGCTCTTCTATTTGCCCTCCTTTTATGCCACCTGGTATGTTAGGCAGCTTTTTGTCACCAAAAGGCCCAACAGGGACAGAGAAGGAACAGTTTATTTTGGCTCACGGTTTCAGAGGCCTCAGTCTGTGGTCGGCCGACTGCATTGCTCTGGGCCTGAGATGAGGTAGAGCATCGTGACCAAAGGACACACAGGGAGGCCGCTCAGGACACGGCAGGAAGCAGAGAGAGAGCTCCACTCGCTAACTAAAAGCTCTAAAGGCCCATCCCCGTGGGCCCACTTCCTCCAGTCATCCCTACCCGCCTACCATTACCACCCAGTGAATCCAAATCAGTGGATTAATCCAGTGATTAGGTTACAACTCTCATAATCTAATCAATTCACCTCTGAACATTCTTCAACTGTCTCTCTCATGAGCTTTGGTACCTGGAACAGGAGCAGGTTATGTCACGGTGCCTTTCCTTTCCCATCAGAGTCTTCTCTGGCTCGTCTGTCCACACGGGGTCCTTCTTCCTTCCTTCTCCAGCTATAAAACCCCGAAGTTTTCTTCTAATTTCCCTTAGAAATTCACCCGGGTGTCCCAGAATGCACACGTTGGAAGTCCTGAATTTCCAACTTTCTGGACAGATAAGCACGGTGCTTGTCAAACAAAAATATATTTATGTCTGCACCCCATGTCTCAGCCCGGGCCCTGTGCAAGGTACAATGGTTTGGATAAGTGTCCCCCAAAGATTGGTTTCCAGCCTGTGGAACTATTGGGAGGTGGTGGAATTTTTAAGAAGTGGGGCCTTATTCAAGGTGGGTAGATCATTAAGGGTATGTTCTTGAAGGGGACTGTGAGACCCCAGCCCTTTCCTGTCTCTTTTTAGATTCCTGGATGCCACGAGGTGAGCAGCCTCCTCCACCACGTGCTCTGGTCACGATGTGCCAAAGCAATGGGGCAACTGACATTGGACTAAAACCTCCAAAACTATGAGTCAAAATAAACCTTTTATCTTTTTAAATTTATTTGTCTCAGGTATTTGTTATGGCAACAGAAAGCTGACTAACACAAGGATACTGTGGCACTTGGCTGGCAGGACCCAGGGCCAGTCAATTTCCACAGAGACAACTCTAGTTGTATAATAGACACTCTACCACAGAAAGAGAGAGAGAGGAGGAGAATGTCATAAAAGAGGAAGAGAGGCTGGGGATGCAGCTCAGTTGGTAGAATGCTTGCCTCTCATGCACAAAGTCCTGGGTTCAATCCTCAGCACCACAAGAAAAAAAAAAGAAAGAAAAGAGGAAGAGAAAGCATTCAGCCTTTGGTTCTTTGGGATTGGCTTATTTTGCTTAGCATAATATTCTCCAATTTCATCCATTTACTGGCAAATGCCATAATTTAATTGTTCTTTAATGCTGAGTAATATTCCATTGTGTATATGTACCACATTTTCTTCATCCATTCCTCTGTTGAAGTGCACCTAAGTTGGTTCCATAGTTTAGCTATTGTGAATTGAGCTGCTATAAACATTGATGTGGCTGCATCACTGTAGTATGCTCACTTTAGGTCCTTTGAGGAGTGGGATACATGGGTCAAATGGTGGTTCCATTCCCAGTTTTCTGAGGAATCTCCATACTGATTTCCAGAGTGGTTGCACCAATTTGCATTTCCACCAGCAATTATGAGTGTACCTTTTCCCCCACATCCTCATTAACATTTATTGTTGCTTGTATTCTTGATAATTGACATTCTGACATGAGTAAGATGGAATCTCAGTGTAGTTTTCATTTGCATTTCTCTAGTTGCTAGAGATGTTGAACATTTTTCATTTATTTGTTGACCAATCGTAATTATTCTTCTGTAAAGTGTCTGTTCAGTTCCTTAACCTATTTATTGATTTGGGGTTTTTTGTTGTTATTGTTTTGTTTTGGTGTTAAGCATGCTAATGCTAATTCACAATAAGGAGGGAGAATAGAGGTATTTTGTACTAGACAAAGGGGAGAGAAGGGAGGGGAGGGGTCCTGGAGGTAGGATGACAGTAGAATGAGTCGGACATTCTTACCCCATGTATGATTACATGGTCTGTAACTCTACATCATGTACAACCAGAAGAGTGAGAAGCTAGGCTCCATTTATGTATGATGTGTCAAAATGCATTTTACTGTCATGTATAACTAATTAGAACAAATTTTTTAAAAAAAGAAGAAGAGAGAAAGTCTTGAAGACACATTCCTGTGCACCTGGGCTGCCTGACACCCCCATCCTCCAGCGCCAGCAGGGTGGGCCTTCATTCCCGCGTCCAGATCAGGGAGTGCCACGTGAGCTCAGAGAACCCACTCTACCCTCTCAATTTTCCAGAAAGGAGGACGGTATCAGATTGCACAAGTCCCAGCTTTCTGCTCCCCCCCAGTTGTGTTGGCCAATTCAGTTAAAGGCTAGGATTTCTCGCACCAACTCCTCGCCTTAGGGCATTCAACAGGGGACAAGCAGAAGTCACTCTTTACACGCCTCCCGCCTGTGGTGCTCCAAAATTAGTCCCAGGGGCCCTTTGGGGGGAGAGTGAAGCGTGTCACCGCTCCCTGGGCACAGGCTCTCGTTTGGCCCTGTGCGGCCTGCGGGCCATAGCCATTCCCACCCATCTGTCACGCTGGCCTGGGGCCCACTTGCAAGTTGATGGGACCCTTGACCTCAGGCAGCCATCCAAGGCCACGTGAGCTTCAATGGCCCATCTGAGGAGTGCCGGAGGTGCCATCTGTCCTGCAGGAAGACCATCTTCTGTGTCAGCCCGAAAGCATTGGCTCCATATTTTCATCACAGCTGGTAACTGTTACTTGCCAGAAGGAGATACCTGCACAGGAAGGACAGGAAGGCATGTGGAGTGGGCAACTTTACATTTTAGCTAGAAGTTTCAAACTGTGGGAGGATCTCCTGAAAAAAGAAATATGAAGAAGGACAAAAATATGGAAAAATAAAATTAGAAAATTGCCCAAGAATAGGGAATCACTATGAGACTTAGAAAAACCCCAAAGACGCATATAACTTGCAGGATTAGTAGAGGTCTTATTTTAAAATATATATATATATATATATATATATATATATATATATATATATATATATCAATCTTCTCCCCTGGCCTCTGCGGTCCATTCTTCTCTCGGGAATCCAGAGTGATCCCTTTGAAATGTTGGTCAGGTCAGCTGCACCTCTGACCTCAGCTTCCTTGCCCAACAGCTGTCCATCATACTTGGAGGCAAACCCAGCGTCATCCGGCATCTTGCAGCCCTGCCTGAGCTGACCGACAGCTACCCCTCTAACCTCCTCCACTCCCTCTCCTTCCTCCTCACATCTCTGTAACTGCCCTGGCCTCCCAGTCACCCCGTCCCTTGAACATGCCAAGTTGCTCTCGCCTGACCTCTTTGGCACTTGTTATTCTTTCTTCCTGAAATGCTTGTTCCCCCATAATCACACAACCTCAGGCCTTTATTTAAAAATCATCTCCTTGCTGGCCTCCTCCCCTGGCCACTCTTTGTGTGTCAGACCCCTCACCTGCAGCACCTCCGGTCCTTTTGGCTTCTCCTGTCTCTAGAGCTCTCGGCCACATATTCTGTTCCAATTGCCACTGAGCACCCGACTCTGCAGGGGGTCATGTGGCCACAATCCAGCAACACCTCCCAGCACACTCACACCTCAGGGCTTCCCTACCTGTGCCAGGTAGCAGATGTCACAGGGTATTCTTGGCATCCACATAGGCACAACCCAGAATCGTGAGGAAGTTAACTCCACATGGAATGTAGGAATCTGTAAATTCTTCCCCTTTCCTCTATGTGGACAAAATGCCCTGGGAAATGGGAGTCTGGGCTGTCTAGAGACCTAATAGGGAATTCTGGGGACACAAGGACAAGTTAGTCATTTTGTGTCCCAGTGGTGAGCTGCGTGCAGGGGGCTGTACTATAACATATATGGAGCCGGAATCGCTCACAGCTTATGGTCTATGAAAGTGAATAAGCCAGTCTCACACATCTTAAAAGAAAAATGTCGCCATTATTAATGCTTTCCAAATCTTCAATGCAGATAGAATCTTTAATGTATTGTTTTGCATTGGGAGTAAAGTATATTATGACTTTAATAAGCTCTTTGCTATTATTTTTTAAAAATTCCTAGCAGGTTTATAGTGTTCTAGTTACATTTTACCCAGAAAATCAGCTTTCATGAGAATAAAATGCTAAGACCATATCAAATGTTCCACGGATTCAAGTCTGATATGAGTAAATTCCGAACCGGAGAATTGGCTGCACACGGCACCCGTGTGGGATTAGGAGGAATTGTCCCTCCATCCCCGTCCCTCGCCCAATATAAATAGAGGCATCTTTCTGATCAGTTTGAAAATCAGCCATATCAAGAGGCTTTTACAGTAGTGAAGCAATATTTATTTGAAATATAGACTGCCTATGAAACAGCTAAAATTATTTGTCTACTGGAAACAAGATCGATACAGAATAATAGCATACTATGAGGGACTTTGAATCTAGAGAGTGCTTTATTTTATCTTGGGTACAGTCTACTGTGCCAGGAGGATTTCTGATGAGAAAAATAGTGCATTTCGGAAGGAAAAAAAAAACTATTATGGCTAAGAGTTCAAATTGTTGTGACAGAAGAGTCTACAAACATAGTATATTTTGATTCTAGCAAATCATTCTTGCTATGTCCTTAGGGACATGGACAATAGAGGACCTTTCTATATGGCTAGTATGACAATTATAAAATTATATATTATATATGATACATAATGACATACAATTGAATTATGTATCATAATTGATTCCTGGTACAGAATAGCTACTTTACAAGTGATAGTTGCTATTAGTAACTTTATATTAGCCATCAAAAATGAAGTATGGGCTGGGGCGAATGTCTAGTTACATTTTGCCCAGCAGTTCAGGAGACTGAGTCAGGAGAATTGTGAGTTCAAAGCCAGCCTCAGCAACTTAGCAAAGCACTAAGCAACTTGGTGAGACACTGTATCAAAATTTAAAAGGGTTGGTGGGCGGGGGGGTGGGGTTAGGGGTTGGGGATGTGGCTCAGTGGTTAAGTGCCCCTGAGTTCAATCCCTGATTAAAAAAATAAATAAAAGGAAGTACTAACTGAAGAACTATAGTGTATAAATTGAGTTTAGTGCATCCAGTTACCATCTAGAGGGAAGAGCTAGGGCTTAGCAATCCCTCACTGAGGAGCTAAACCAGGGAGGAGGAGGAGGAGAATATTGAGGCTGGATCCCTTGAACACTGAGCAGTGGGATAAAGATCAGGAGGGTAACCAGCCTGGGGTGGTTGCTCCTGGTCAAAACACTGTCGAGCAGCCATGGTTGCGGGGAGATGAGAGGCAAAGAGTGAGAATACAGGGCTCACGGAGAAACTTTTGGGAGTGGTGAACATGTTCATTATCTTGATTAGGGCGATGGCTTCATGTGGCATATGTTTGTCAGAACTCATCAAATTGCATAATTTGCTCATGTGCAGTTCATTGTACACCACTCACACCTCCATAAAGAGAAGATAGGAGAGAAAGGAAATGAAGAAAGATACAGTCAAGCCATGTCAGAAATGACAGAGGAGCTAATATTTGGTCAGGAACCTTGGGGGTCAAGTCTCAATGTGAGGCTGGAGTTACCAGATGAATGCAGATGTAAAGACGTGGACATGGCTTGGAGTTCTCTGATGTGAAGTTAAAATCTGAGGGGTGCATTGCGTAAACAAGATGGTACATCTCTACCAGTTGGCACAGCCCAGTGCTATTTCCTTGCATGTTGCTCACAGCTCCTCCAAACTTTAAAAGGGCTTCAGCCAGATCCAGGCAATGGGGCTTATCCAGCGCCATATTCTAGTGCATTCTCAGGACTGGCTATTTTGAGAGATGATATGCTCCAAATTGTGAAAATGTTGATGTCAATGTTGTCTGAGAAGGTGTACCAAACCTCACTGCCTGATCACCTAGGAAGATGGTTAAAATACTGTCCCTGAC